GAGCTGTTCGGTGCTGTGGAGGGGAAGGATGTCCAGTCTGAAATGTTCGTAGTTGTGGTGTTGGTGGTGAGGTGGTGGTGGAGGTTATTTTGGTTTGGAGCAGCGACTGATTTTTAATGTTTTTTGGAGATGAAGGGAAGGTTTGAGATGGGTCGGAGTTGTTGATAGTTGGTTGGATCCTGGCCAGGTTTTTTGAGAATGGTGAGATGAGAAGGTATGAATGAGAGTAGGAAGTACCAGAAGTGAGAGATGAGTGAATGATATTAATGATGATGGGAGCAGCGATGAGGGGAGGCTGGATTTGACAGATCGGTAGGGTGAGGGTCGGAGCTGAGAGGTAGAAGGTTTGGATTTAATGATAAGTCGTGAGGTTGGCTTGGACGGAGGGCAAGATGAAGATGGAGAATGTGTTATGAGGATGTGTAGGGGGCTGGGGGGTCCACTCCAGAGACTGCAGCGCATGTGGGGTCAGGTGTTGGTGGGATGGTGTGTTGTTGGAGGTAAAGAAGGACATGTGTGAGGTTTACAGATGTCAGAGGATTGCATATGGTGTGGTGGAGTCAGGGGGTTTGGTTATATTGGTGAGAAGAGAGAAGAGAGTTTGGAGTTAGGTTGATTGGAGGGATTTAAACCGAGTCGTAGGGGATTTGGGCAGCAGAGAGATGGCCTTGTATAGCTTGATGTTGGGTTATTGTAATTTGTTTGTGAATATGGTGTGTCCAGTTTTATTGTAGAGCGTCAAGTTGTACGTCCTTGGGATTTGTGCTGACGGAGGGCAGGATGGTGAACCTGGGTGCTGAGGAGCAGTGAAAGAGACGGGTAGGTTTTGAGGAGGGAGCATGGATTGTTCAGGAGGTTATGGGAGAAGTGTTGTGTGGTGAGACCAGGGTCATCGGGGGAGTCATTGGGATCAGGTAGGGGGGATGGGGTATTGAGATCTGTGGCGAAGGTGGCTGTGTTTATGTCCTGAATTTTTCGGAAAGAAATGGTTCGGGGAAGGATGGTCTTGGAGAGGGTGAGGTTGATATGAGGTGATGAGCTTATGGTCTGTGTGATGGGTGTGTGTGAGGTTTACAGTCAGTGGGAGTGAGACCAGAGCAGACTGATTAAGTCATAATGTGACCTTAGTGGGGGTGGGAATATGAATGTGTTGTTGTAAACCAAAACTATCTTTAACAGGAGGAGAAGTCTTTGGTGGAGGGTTGATATTATTGTCCATGTGAATGTTGAAGTCACCAGTATGAATGAGTTATGAGTGATTAGGGTGATGAGATGTGAGTCTAGAAGGTGTAAAGGTCATCTAAAAGTACTATTAAGTTTTGGCGGCGGTAGTATGGTGCTAATAATGTAGGAGAATGGTCATGGCAGCAGTGAGGAAGAGTACTCGAAGGAGGAGAAGGACGGGGCTGAAGGCACAGTGTGACTTTCCATAGTCTCGCGGTGAAGGCATCGCAGAGACCACGCAACGGCGGCCACAGCTGCGGCGGCTGCAGTTGTAAACAAACCCGGTGGAGTGAGTCACGCTTCAACGCGGCAATAGTCATTTGCTGCTGCAAGGATGTTTCGGTCAAACACAAGAAGTCCAGCTTCACGGTAGTCGAGGACATCCCGGACCCTGATGGCCTTGGTGTTGAGGAGCGCACTTGAGGAGACCGTAGCCTGGACGGTGGTGGAGTGTTCTTGGCTGCAGCGGGCTGAAGCCGATCGGCCTCGCCAACCCACTGACCAGGACAATGTCAGCGTCCCGGACCTAGCGGCGTTTGTTCTGTGAGCAGCGGATGCCAAAAGCGACGCCAGCGTTCTCTCATACTGATCCAATACTGGTTAATACTGCTGTGCATGACTCTTTAGTCAGTTATATTCAGTTAGTTAAGAAGGTTAAAAATAATGTCAGTGTCAGTGGGTTTAGTTGATTGACTACAAAGAATTGGAATTAGATTTCCTGAGTTGGACCGTCTAACTGCTGTCCTTCTGTTATATTTGTGTTTATTCAAATTAAAACACATTTCTGAGCCGGTGCGAGGAACACACACAGTCTCTATTGGTTTAAAAAGTGAACTCTGTTTTACTTTGTTAAGTTCCAGATGCATGGCTGAGTAAGCACCGTTCAATGGCAGGACTGGTATTACACTGCCAGACGGACAGGGGTCAGTGTTTGCACCACAGTACTCACCTGGTGCTGGAGTGGAGGAGGAAGGGGGTAGTGGGGGCCGAGAGGCCTCGGATGTAAACAGTCACGCCCCCCTCGGGGAGCACTGAACAACATGGCGTAAAAAGTCCATCAATAAACTGGTACCGTATCTGTTCGGGTGCAGACCGTCTGGACGATAGGCCACGTGACGCTTCCAGAACAGGCCAAAGTTGTTCACAAAAACAAAGTTAAAAGTGCTGCATGCAGACTGGAGCCACATATTCAGCGCCACAACGCGACTGTAGAGGCAGTCACCCCGGTTTACAGTCGGGACTGGACCAGAGATAAAAACACACAACCCAGAGGACTGGAGAAGACGGAATAGATCCATAAAATGCTTCTTTGTGACCTCGGACTGCTGCAGCTTCATGTCGTTGATCCCCACATGCACGATTACCTTTGAAATGGTATCAGGCAGGGAGTGAAGCAGAGGAGGGAGACGGATGAGCAGGTCTGGTACAGTGGCTCCGGGAAAACACTGAGTGACCGCGTTAAAAAAGCGGACGTGCCTCACGATGGAATCTCCAACAATCAAAGTAGTCGGGGCGAAGAGTGGACGTAGCCGCGGAGAGGGCGCTCGGTGTCCATGGCCGGAACCAGCGGGCTCATCCAGGGATGAGTCCGAACCAGGGCGCTGCTGAACACATGGAGGGGAGCGGGGGTGTTGATTCTCAGCTCCGGGCAACCCACGCTGTGTGCACGGGGACGCTGGAGCAGCGAGAGGAGCAGGCTCGGGTCGCTGCTGCTGACCCGGTGGAGGTAAGTGGTGGTGATGCACTGGGGTCAGAGAAGGGGAATGACCACTCTTTCGTCTGAGGACAGCTTCCTTTAGAGCGTTTTTCTCGCAGTGGACCTGGATCCACGAACGGCAGTAGAGTACGCTGCAGAGTCCAGAGGTTCTGCTGAGGGGGCTGGGATGTCAGTGGAGAGTGCTGCATAGCGGTTTGACAGGCTTAGGACATGGGCCACGGCGCTGGATGGCTCCTCGCAGTTCGCGGGTTCCTCATTCGGAACCGGGCGCTTAGGTGTAGAACAGGAGGGTCCAGAGCTGACAGACCTCTCCCACACGACAGTGTCACAGTATGCAGCGCTCAGTGACATAAGCCGTGAGTGCTGCCCGCCAGCGACATCAAAAAGTTTGGACACGAGTGACTGTTTGTCCTGCAGCTCTGCAGTGAGGCGAAGGACTTCTTTACGGAGGTCTGCAATAGTGGCACGGTCCCTCTCACGAAGCTCCAATGTGAGGCGACTAATGTCGTTCGTGGTCATTGCAGTGTCACTTTCCATGTCTGTGGTGCGCTCGTGGTAGCCTCCGAGCTAGCGCGTTTCGATTGGGTCTTTGTGTTAAAAGACGTGATGCTCTGGAACCATTGCATTTAAGGTAAAAACACTAGTGTGTATAAAAGACACTAATACACCGTAAAAACGTGTTTAAAAGGCTTTAAAAGGCTTAAAAGGGTAAACAGAGCAGAGACGTCAAAAACGCGTGCTCACTCCCGCGTGCCTACTTAAACACTTTGGAATGATTAATTGTGCCACACTAAGTTATCAGGGCCTCTTAAATAACTGTTAAAGGTTGGGCTTGTCACATGGGCAATGTAAATCCAGCCCATGCACACTTACTGCAGCATTATGCTTCTGTTAACTCCCCTTGATTTATGAACTCCCAGGGACGTGCCTAACGGTCACACAGGTGTAAATGGGTCTGTTCTGTTTGTCCGTGTCTCATACTTCACACTGTCACCAGGAAAGGCCACAGAACTTGTCACGGCTCATTTGGATGAAGATTCATGCTTTTCAAGGTTTTGTAGTGTCTGAGCTTTTATCTCTGTGGTCTAATAAGCAATAGAATGATTGAGATCTTCTTAAGAGTATATATTGACATAGAGAGGGCCCGACACAGGCCCCCGCAGGAGCATAGAGGGCCGTTGGCTCCGGGGGTCTGTGGGACGTCGGTCATGGGTGTGTTTCAGGTTTAGATATGTTACTTCTGGTTAAAACCAGCACCTTTCGTTGTCTTAGCCTGACATTTGAAGGCATTCTGTTTTTATATTAAATAAACCTTTTTTTATATCTAAACAAAGTGTTATAATTTCCATTTCATTTTATTCAAGGCCACATAGATTAGAAGCTTCAGTTTTAGTCTCAGAGGACTAAAGCTGTATCTTGATCTGTCCAAAGATCCAATGCGGGTGCATAATAAACTAGATTAACTGTAACTGCAATTTAAAAAACTAAAAGAAGGTAATGATAATCATTATCATATTCAATCACATGTAAGTAGTAAGTAGTAAGTAATCTTTATTTATATACCGCCTTTTCACTGCACATCGGAGTCTCAAAGCGGTTTACAATTGTTATTTTTTGGGAGTGGGGGTGCCAGTACAGGAGGCACATGCCAGACCTATTGTACATATTTTTAGTGGTAGGGGAAACCGGAGCACCCGGAGGAAACCTACGCAGACACGGGGAGAACATGCACTGATTAATTGTGCCACACTAAGTTATCAGGGCCTCTTAAATAACTGTTAAAGGTTGGGCTTGTCACATGGGCAATGTAAATCCAGCCCATGCACACTTACTGCAGCATTATGCTTCTGTTAACTCCCCTTGATTTATGAACTCCCAGGGACGTGCCTAACGGTCACACAGGTGTAAATGGGTCTGTTCTGTTTGTCCGTGTCTCATACTTCACACTGTCACCAGGAAAGGCCACAGAACTTGTCACGGCTCATTTGGATGAAGATTCATGCTTTTCAAGGTTTTGTAGTGTCTGAGCTTTTATCTCTGTGGTCTAATAAGCAATAGAATGATTGAGATCTTCTTAAGAGTATATATTGACATAGAGAGGGCCCGACACAGGCCCCCGCAGGAGCATAGAGGGCCGTTGGCTCCGGGGGTCTGTGGGACGTCGGTCATGGGTGTGTTTCAGGTTTAGATATGTTACTTCTGGTTAAAACCAGCACCTTTCGTTGTCTTAGCCTGACATTTGAAGGCATTCTGTTTTTATATTAAATAAACCTTTTTTTATATCTAAACAAAGTGTTATAATTTCCATTTCATTTTATTCAAGGCCACATAGATTAGAAGCTTCAGTTTTAGTCTCAGAGGACTAAAGCTGTATCTTGATCTGTCCAAAGATCCAATGCGGGTGCATAATAAACTAGATTAACTGTAACTGCAATTTAAAAAACTAAAAGAAGGTAATGATAATCATTATCATATTCAATCACATGGCCTGATGTCTCCCCATACCCACATACGCTCAGACTGGAGGACTTCCTGGCAGCACTGATGTCATACGTCAGTGTCATTAGGAACTGTAATAATAAAACATTTTGCGATATTAATGATATTGACATGAGGACTGTCCGAAACGTATCAGAGGACATTGTTAAACCATTTACACAACTTATCTTTCAGCTGGGAGAATTTCCTTCACAAATATAACTTAAATCCGGAGACAAACACCACTTTACAAATTATCGGCCTGTTTCCCTTCTGCCACAGTTTTCTAAAATACTAGAAACAAATATTTGACACTAGACTGCGCTGCTTTATTGAAAACCACAATTTACTGTCCAATAGTCAATATGGATTTTGACAAAATAGATCAATTTCACGAGCACTAATTGATTAAAGTGAAGAAATAACTAATGGTAATGAGAAAAATTAATTTGTTTTAGGGATTTTCATTGAAAGCTATGGCATAAGGGGACAACTTAAAAACATGTTGGAGAGTTACTTAAGTGAGAGAAGGCAGCTTGTACAGATAAACAATACAATACAATGTATTCTTGTATAGCCCTAGGTCACAACAGAAGTCATCTCAGAGACTTAACAAAACCATTGAAATCACCAACACAGGTCAGAGAATCAACAGTTAAAACACATGAAGAATATAAAGCACACACAGAAGAAAATGTCCATACATGTTGTAGAATGCTAAAGTGTCCTGATCATCACCAATCCTTTCTGTTGGACACTAACTGTCCAACAAGACCCTCCTGCATCGACAAGGAACAACTCTTAAAAAACCCAGTGGGAAAAAGTGAGAAACACAAGACTAACATAAATCTGGATTTAAGAACATAACGTGTGGAGTACCTCAAGGGTCAATACTTGGACCCACATTATTCATTATATATATAATTGAAATATGTAAAATATCAAACTTAATGAAATTCATCCTTTTTGCCGATGACGCAAATATGTTATGTGCAGGTGACTGTAACTGTTGAAATGAACAAACTAAATACCTGGTTTAATATAAACAAATAGTCTCTCAAATTAAAAAAGACAAAGATTATGCTTTTTAGCAATCGCAGGTGTAATATCCCTGTCCAGATTGTCATTGATGATACACAAATACAAAAAGTTCACCAAAATACATTGGGAGTTGTAAGAGATGATAAAATACCCTTGAAATCTCACATTAATTTCATCAGGTCAAAAGTTGCTAAATGTGTTGGAATGATGAAGAGAGCAAGTCATTTACTCAACACCAATGCTATTATTGTATCGTTCTTTCATCATGTCATAATTTAAGTGTGGGGAAACTGCTACAAATCCCACTTAAGCCTCTGATCGCTGCAGATTAAGGATTGTTTCTAATGTTCACTTGATGATCACACTCATCCACTGTTCATAGAGTTGGAAAAACTTAAATTACAAGATTTGATTCACTTTAAAACTGCTCAAATTATGTTCAGGGCATCGGAAAACTCTGCCACCAAATGTTCAAAACTGATTTTGTGACAGAGACTGGCATCATAGTCAGACTAAGAGGAAATAAAAATGTATACTTGCCTAGATTTAGGACCACCTTAAAGTCAGTGTGTGTCTCAGTGCGAGGAGTTACTCTGTGGACCACCTTAAAGTCAGTGTGTGTCTCAGTGTGAGGAGTTACTCTGTGGACCACCTTAAAGTCAGTGTGTGTCTCAGTGTGAGGAGTTACTCTGTGGACCACCTTAAAGTCAGTGTGTGTCTCAGTGTGAGGAGTTACTCTGTGGACCACATTAAAGACAGTGTGTGTCTCAGTGTGAGGAGTTACTCTGTGGACCACATTAAAGTCAGTGTGTGTCTCAGTGCGAGGAGTTACTCTGTGGACCACCTTAAAGTCAGTGTGTGTCTCAGTGTGAGGAGTTACTCTGGACCACATTAAAGACAGTGTGTGTCTCAGTGCGAGGAGTTACTCTGTGGACCACTTTAAAGTCAGTGTGTGTCTCAGTGTGAGGAGTTACTCTGTGGACCACCTTAAAGTCAGTGTGTGTCTCAGTGCGAGGAGTTACTCTGTGGACCACCTTAAAGTCAGTGTGTGTCTCAGTGCGAGGAGTTACTCTGTGGACCACCTTAAAGTCAGTGTGTGTCTCAGTGTGAGGAGTTACTCTGTGGACCACCTTAAAGTCAGTGTGTGTCTCAGTGTGAGGAGTTACTCTGTGGACCACCTTAAAGTCAGTGTGTGTCTCAGTGTGAGGAGTTACTCTGTGGACCACCTTAAAGTCAGTGTGTGTCTCAGTGCGAGGAGTTACTCTGTGGACCACATTAAAGACAGTGTGTGTCTCAGTGCGAGGAGTTACTCTGTGGACCACATTAAAGACAGTGTGTGTCTCAGTGCGAGGAGTTACTCTGTGGACCACCTTAAAGTCAGTGTGTGTCTCAGTGTGAGGAGTTACTCTGTGGACCACCTTAAAGTCAGTGTGTGTCTCAGTGTGAGGAGTTACTCTGTGGACCACCTTAAAGTCAGTGTGTGTCTCAGTGCGAGGAGTTACTCTGTGGACCACCTTAAAGTCAGTGTGTGTCTCAGTGTGAGGAGTTACTCTGTGGACCACCTTAAAGTCAGTGTGTGTCTCAGTGTGAGGAGTTACTCTGTGGACCACCTTAAAGTCAGTGTGTGTCTCAGTGCGAGGAGTTACTCTGTGGACCACATTAAAGACAGTGTGTGTCTCAGTGCGAGGAGTTACTCTGTGGACCACATTAAAGACAGTGTGTGTCTCAGTGCGAGGAGTTACTCTGTGGACCACCTTAAAGTCAGTGTGTGTCTCAGTGTGAGGAGTTACTCTGTGGACCACCTTAAAGTCAGTGTGTGTCTCAGTGTGAGGAGTTACTCTGTGGACCACCTTAAAGGATGAACTAAAAAATTGTATATATCTGATTCCATTTAAAGCTCTGTTTAAAAAAGATGTACTAATAAAATACAAGGAGGAACAAGAGTGATGCCCTCAGCACAGAGCGAGTGATGGGAGAGAGGTGTGGGGTCAGAGAGTGTCTGGGCCTGTGTGTGTGTGGGTGTGTTTGGTGGTAGTATTGTATTGAAATTGTAGTCAAATGTACAGTAGTATTTTGTAATGTGATTTTCTAAATTCTACTGGATTGTTTTGATTGTGTTGTGGGTGAGAGGGTTGGGCTAATATAAGCATAATGCTTCATCCAACCCCTTTTCAAACCTTGAACATATGTGTCTGAACATTTGTAAAATATGTTTCCGGTGCAGGTTTTTAAATTAATAATTCAAATGTAATTCAATACAGATGAATGTAGATTTGCATCAGTTACACGTATGTTTGAGTGCACGGGACAAAGCTCTGCACAGCTCTCACAGCACAGGGACAAGGGATCCACAAAACTTATTCTGATTAACATTTAAAACATTTACTCCAATTATACAATTGATAGCACGTAGTTTATCCTTACCTTTACCTCTTTTACCCAAAGTTTAATCAGGCCCGAGCCTGAGCCAACATTTGATTGTCAGATACAACATTATGGAACAGCACACAGTGTGTGTCTTAAGATCTGAATCAAAAATAATTGACTAATTCAGCTCATTTCTCAATACGTGGGATTTGAGCAAAAAACCCAAACACGGCCAGAGCTCAGTATTGTCCTGCATTCAGAATGGACCTTATTTCAAAGAGACACATGACCCGACTAATCCCAATCCGTTGCCAGTAACACGCCAACAACAACATCATTCATTTTCCATGCCGGTTGTATAACTCCTACATGGCTTCTTTTCTAAATTTCACGAGGTCACGAGTTCAAAGCCAGAAGATTTCATACATTTTATTTTTCACCAACATTTTCAAAGAGTATAATCTTCCAACAGCCTTCAATCATTCTCATTTCTAAAAGTTGGCAAAGTTGTTGAAAGATTCTTTGAAGCGTCAGCCTCCGTGGATTCAGCACCCTTAAAACGAGGTGCTTTCTTTTCATTCATTGAGGTTGAACTGAAAAAACCTCAGCTTTTGGAGAAGCTTTTTTTGTGTTTTTTTGGGCTATGCATGTTTGATGTGAGCTGTAGATTCGGGTTAACCTTATTCTTGAATGTTGCTGCTGTGTTTACATTTTACAATGAGTTGCATGACATCTGTGTGTAGTGATGAAATATTGATTTTCTCTCAAACCCAGATGTAAGATCTAAAGCAGCACTTTGATGGACTACACTGGACAGCCTGCCCCCGTTTCTGATAAATCACTACGGTTACAAAGCATAAGGAGACTGACTACGCTAAAAAACCTACTCTATTCGGCATTTGTGTTCCATATGAACCTAAAAATAGTGGTGATTTAGTCACAATAAAACCAAACAGTTTGATTGGTTATTGCTTACATGTACATCAGTGTACCCCATTGCCTACGTAGACAGGGTACAGGTTATGGGGCGTTCAGACCGTAACACTGGAACGCAGGTTCCGCGCGCACCAGACGCAAATTCTCAAAATTTCAGATGCAGGGTCAGACCAGAAGTCCTGGCCTGTGGTGGCGCCCGCCGGAAGTGGCGGAAAAACCGGGCGGACTTTGATGCTAACGAAGTTAAGCTAGTGGCTTTTAGTGTAAAGTTCTTCTCCAATAATGCAGCTCCGCAGCGTCTCTGTGTCCAGAGACCTTCCAGAGACTTTAGCAGCAGTATGTGTTCACGGAGGTGCACCATACGTTGACTTTGCATTGAAAGTCGCCGCAACGCATGATCCGGTCTGAACGCAGCTTAATGGGGAAAAGCCTTTCACAAATCTTATATCTGGGTTTCCATCCTTTTCTTTATGGAAAGTTTGCTCATAACTCCTCTTTGGCATCATATTATTTAGTAATTAAGCGTGTTAATAATGTGATTATGTGGGTATTATGTAGGTATTTTCCATATTATATTTCTAACATACACACACAAGGAACTGCGGTCAGAGGCACAGGTTTATATTTAAAAAGAAGGCATTAAAAGCAGTAGCAACAATATTTAAAAAAAAATCCTTATTTGATTTTTGGTAGAAAATATTTAAATATATAATATATGCAGTAGTAGCCATTTTAAGCCCTACGTCCTGCGTAGTCCATTTTGATTAATTTGTCTCTTTTTTTCTTTCTTTGTTTCATGCTGCTTCCCAGGCAAGCCCAAAGTGGAGCTGACCTACGACCGCATGTACACGGTTACGAGCCAGCTCACTTTCACCGTGAGCAGGGAAGACGACGGAGTGCCTGTGGTCTGCATCGTGGACCATCCTGCGGTTAAAGACTTCCAGGCCCAGAGGCATCTGGAAGTACAATGTAAGTCTGGGGACTGTTGACGAATGTTCTATGGATGGATGTATACTACAGGGTTATATGGTCAATATGTAAGGGATAACGTATATTACGCAGGTCATTATCGGAAAATAAGTACCGACAGGGCGCACGTCGGGGTCTGCTTCCGCCCTGAAGGTACTTATTTTCCGATAATGACCTGCGTAATATACGTTATCCCGCTTATTATACGGCTTTATACCAACAGAACACACAACATAAACTTCAGTCCACTTTTAGGAATGCCGAAAGGTTTATTTAATGACAGAAAATAAAATAGTTCCCAAAGGCTTTCCCGTGGCTATGCTAGTGCAACAGTTGCAAACAAAGAATTCTGAACATCAGCGGTGAGTGACCCAAACATAAACTTAACCTAAATCCATAATTCGATCCTCTGCAAATGTGTCCGAAAATGTGCCGGTATCTTAAAATGTGCCGGTATCTACTTCCGGGTTTTTCGGGATCGCCTTTTCTCGCATTACATCAGTGTTTTTGTCATGAAAACGTAAACGGAAAATTCTGAAAACTTCCGTGCACTTGTATTAAGACTGGATATGTATAATTCACTCTCCGATTAACATTTCATTGCGTTGATTGATTGGCATTTGCGTTTATTGAGCGACCGGAACTACTTCCGGGTTTTTCACAATCGCTTTTTGACGCAGAGAAATAGTATTTTTGTCATGAAAACAAGACCAGAAAATTCAGAAAATCTCCGTGCACGTGTGTGAAGAATGTATAAGTATTCTCTGATTAACATTTAAGTGTGTTGATTGATTGGTATTTGCGTTTAATGAGCGTGGTTAGCTCCGGAGTGGCCGGAACTACTGTCGGAGTTATCCACGCATCTGAAAGACAAGCAGAGAGTGCGTTGCCAAAGGGCAGCGGCCATTATTGTTTTGAGAGGTCCGTAATAGAAAATAATGACCGTAGAACGTTTTGAAATTACATTCAAATCAATCTGTATAATATATATATAACATACATATATATATATATATATATATATATATATATATATATATATGACTATATTTTTTTTTATAATCATTATTTGTATTATTCCCTCTGGTCCTGGATGTATTTTATTTATTTTAATATCTGTGTGTTTCTCATTTCTGAACTGCAAATTTCTGTATTTTAGTGATGTGAGAAAGACAAGAGGTCACTTCAGTGACAACTAATGGGGATACATACCAATAAAGACTTTTAAAGCATACTAGGAAAGTCAAAATTTATGAGTGCCTAAATACAGTGATATCCAAGTGATGTGATCGCTCTCTAGCACAAGGATTTAATTTGGGATTAAGAAAGTTATATCTAATTTAATGTTAACCTAAATGGCTCTCGGTCTGCATCTTGCAAAGTTCACAGCAGAGTGCAGGTCGTGGAATTTGGCTCTGATGTGGTTGTGCAGCAGCACTATATACACTATATACACTATATACACTATATACACTATATACAGGCTATCAGGATGAAGTTATGACTAGTGTCATTGTGACTATATACAGGCTAACAGGATGAAGTTATGACTAGTGTCATTGTGACTATATACAGGCTAACAGGATGAAGTTATGACTAGTGTCATTGTGACTATATACAGGCTATCAGGATGAAGTTATGACTAGTGTCATTGTGACTATATACAGGCTATCAGGATGAAGTTATGACTAGTGTCATTGTGACTATATACAGGCTAACAGGATGAAGTTATGACTAGTGTCATTGTGACTATATACAGACTATCAGGATGAAGTTATGACTAGTGTCATTGTGACTATATACAGGCTATCAGGATGAAGTTATGACTAGTGTCATTGTGACTATATACAGGCTATCAGGATGAAGTTATGACTAGTGTCATTGTGACTATATACAGGCTATCAGGATGAAGTTATGACTAGTGTCATTGTGACTATATACAGACTATCAGGATGAAGTTATGACTAGTGTCATTGTGACTATATACAGACTATCAGGATGAAGTTATGACTAGTGTCATTGTGACTATATACAGACTATCAGGATGAAGTTATGACTAGTGTCATTGTGACTATATACAGGCTATCAGGATGAAGTTATGACTAGTGTCATTGTGACTATATACAGACTATCAGGATGAAGTTATGACTAGTGTCATTGTGACTATATACAGACTATCAGGATGAAGTTATGACTAGTGTCATTGTGACTATATACAGGCTATCAGGATGAAGTTATGACTAGTGTCATTGTGACTATATACAGACTATCAGGATGAAGTTATGACTAGTGTCATTGTGACTATATACAGGCTATCAGGATGAAGTTATGACTAGTGTCATTGTGACTATATACAGACTATCAGGATGAAGTTATGACTAGTGTCATTGTGACTATATACAGGCTATCAGGATGAAGTTATGACTAGTGTCATTGTGACTATATACAGGCTATCAGGATGAAGTTATGACTAGTGTCATTGTGACTATATACAGGCTATCAGGATGAAGTTATGACTAGTGTCATTGTGACTATATACAGGCTATCAGGATGAAGTTATGACTAGTGTCATTGTGACTATATACAGGCTATCAGGATGAAGTTATGACTAGTGTTCATTGTGACTATATACAGGCTATCAGGATGAAGTTATGACTAGTGTCATTGTGACTATATACAGGCTATCAGGATGAAGTTATGACTAGTGTCTGTGAGTCCTGGTTTGTTTTAGCCGTTTTGGATTGTCATCCCCTTTCTTCCACTCTGCTGTGACCTGCATTAAATGTGTGTATTACAACAGCCTGATGACATGTTTGCAGATGTTTGAACTGACACAAGTAAAAAATGCTGTAATCCCACTAATATTAGTGGGCGTGGCACTGGCTCTGTTCTGTCTAAGTGATGTGGATTCATAATGTTTGATCAACAAAGACATTATTACACATTCTAAAACATGGCATACCAAATTCTAAATCACGTAAAAGACTCAAACTTTGACACAATTTTTCTATTGTATCAAGTTTTCTGTTTGTATTGTTCATAAAATTGCCATAAAGAAACCAGCCTTCTTCCCTTGCAATATGAGCTTTTTGGAGCTTTTGCCTCTGGACTATTACCAGAACAAAACAGCTCTACTGTCGCTCGTTCCCCTTTAAGGTCAGCCAGGTGCCGGGAGATGGATAGGCTCTTTCCGGTGCCTTTATGAGCCTGTGTGTGTGTGCAATAAAAGGAATAATTCAGTTAGCATAATGATAATGGCCCCTGTGTTACGCCTCAGCACTATTTCACCCACAGAGAGGCCCGTGGTGGTCTGAGAGCAGCCCAGGCTTTTCCATTCAGTCAGGAGGAAAAGAGCGCACTTCCAGGAGATCATTAGGCCTCACACTAGTCACTCACGTTTACAGCAATGAGATTAGATTCAGAGAGCGGTCTTTTCCGGAACACTGCTGTGGCACCAACCCATTCAGAGAAATGTATGCAGTTAGATTAGTCTGAAGAATATCATGTAATACTAGGCCCAAGCTCCTGCAGGACGTAGGGCTTATTGTTTCCTCAACCAGTAACATCTGACCCCTCGAACATACTTAAACTCATACATTTTTGCCCAAAACTTTTTTTTTTGCCGGTGCTTTACACGGTAATATATAGTGGCACAACAGCGCACATACTGTATTTATATATATATATATATATATATATATATATATATATATATATACACATACATAGAATATAATGTATATAGTCCGTATTTTACCATACCAAAACAAGACTGTTACATTTTGACAATATTCAAAGATTTGCATCCATACGATTGGCTCACAGAATATTAAATAGCACCTCACCAGCCACACTCGAACACTTTGTTTGGTTCACATCTGCTGCAACAACTAAACAGGGGTCTCCAACCTTTTTCAATCGGAGAGCTACTTTTATACAAACAAACAGGCATAGGGCCACTCCTTTTGGCAGTCGTAATAAAAGTCGATCTAATAATTACGACCAAACTCGGAGAACACATATAAAATACACCATAATACTGTATAACCCTATATTCATACTTGTAATAGATATGTAAGTGTATTTGTTAAAGGGCGACAGTAGCTCAGTTGATAGAGCATTGGCCTTCAGGCCTGAAGGTCGTGGGTTCAATTCCCACCTCTGCACCTTCTCCACCGACTCCCACTGATGACTGCTGTCGTTGTGTCCTTGGGCAAGACACTTAACCCCACTTTGCCCAAAGCCCCCAGGCTATGCTCACAGTCAGAGAGCAGCCGTCCTCCTGTGGACTCACCACCTGCAGAGGGTCAGTGAGGGGCTGGTGCTATGAGACTTGGGTGGCATCTCTGACTGCCACCCCCCTGACCCAGAAATGGATTAAAGGGTAGAAAATGGATGGATGGGTGTATTTGTTAAGTTCTAATTCCTTTGGCGAGCTACCTGTAAGGGGATGGCGAGCTACAGGTTGCAGACCCCTGAACTAGAACTACACAAGCCTCCACCAGGGGGCAGTGCAGCATACCCAGGTGTAAAACTGCTTTTGCACAATCAGCATTTTCATATACAGTGGTTTCCTGAAACACTTGCGAAAGTATTCGGCCCCCTTGAACCTTTCAACATTTCGCCACATTTCAGGCTTCAAACATAAAGATATAAAATTTTAATTTTTTGTCATGAATCAACAACAAGTGGGACACAATCGTGAAGTGGAACAAAATTTATTGGATAATTTAAACTTTTTTAACAAATAAAAAACTGAAAAGTGGGGCGTGCAATATTATTGGGCCCCTTTACTTTCAGTGCAGCAAACTCAGTCCAGAAGTTCAGTGAGGATCTTTGAATGATCCAATGTTGTCCTAAATGACTGATGATGATAAATAGAATGCACTTGTGTGTAATCAAGTCTCCGTATAAATGCACTTGCTCTTTGATAGTCTCAGGGTTCTGTTTAAAGCACAGAGAGAACCATGAAGACAAAGGAACACACCAGGCAGGTCCGAGATACTGTTGTGGAGAAGTTTAAAGCTGGATTTAGATACAAAAAGATTTCCCAAGCTTTAAACATCTCAAGGAGCACTGTGCAAGCAATTATATTGAAATGGAAGGAGTATCAGACCACTGCAAATCTACCAAGACCCGGCCGTCCCGCCAAACTTTCATCTCAAACAAGGAGAAGACTGATCAGAGATGCAGACAAGAGGCCCATGATCACTCTGTATGAACTGCAGATAACTACAGCTGAGGTGGGAGAGTCTGTCCATAGGACTACAATCAGTCGTGCACTGCACGACTGAAATGTGGCGAAAAGTTGAAAGGTTCAATGGGGCCGAATACTTTCGCAAGGCACTGTATAGTAATAAAGGAATGGAACGAGCTCAGTACAGACTTGAAGAGTCAAACGGACTATCCTACATTTACAGCAGAACTCAATAAGTGGTTATGGAACAATCAAAGCTGTGAAGTGCTGTTGCGTATTGTTACTATTGTTAGCTTTTTAGAAAGATCCATCCATCCATTTTCTTCCGCTTCATCCGTTGCCGGGTCGCGGGGGCAGCAGTCAAAGCAGAGAAGCCCAGACTTCCCTATCCACACACACTTCCTCCAGCTCGTCCGGGGGGACCCCAAGGCGTTCCCAGGCCAGCTGAGAGACATAGTCCTTCCAGCGTGTCCTGGGTCTTCCCCGGGGCCTCCTCCCGGTGGGACGTGCCCGGAACACCTCCCCAGGGAGGCGTCCAGGAGGCATCCGGAACAGATGCCAGAGCCACCTCAACTGGTTCCTCTCGACATTAGAAAGATCAATTTATTTATTTTTGCTGCTACTGGACACCTGAATTTCTCCTACGGAGATCAATAAAGTATCTATCTATCTATCATTATATATATATACACACTTCGAAATTTACGCACACAATTGTTGGCGGTTGTGTTGGTGCATCCCCTATTGCTACAAATGGTAAAATATGCACTAATTTTTGTAATTATAGCCCCATTTCAAAACTGAAAGCAGGAGTTGCGTCACCGTTGAAAGTGGTTGTTAGGCTTGGTTTAGAGTAAGTGAGGTTAGCATGAAGCATTATATAAGAAAGATCAAAGACCGGTCCAATCAGAGCAGGTGTTCCTGTCTGACTGCTCTTTGATTGAAATGCTAATGCGCCGGCTCACTTGTCTTATACAAAGACTGACTTTTAGCTTAGTTTCATAAGTTAAAGTACATGATATACAGTTGATTTTAGTCATCTTACAGCAGATGTTACTACCCCAACACTCCCATGTTTACTTTGTTCGTAAACTTTGATTCTTTGAAATGCAGATAATTCAGCAGCATTGCTGTATTTTCACGTATATGGAAAAAATAATTTCATCGCTAACTTGCTCTGTGTTTTTATCAGGGCTGTCGATGTGACCAGGATGTGGTGGGACCTAACAGGGACACTAATCTGAGTGGCACGGTGGCTGAGTGGATAGCACTCTCGCCTCTCAGCAAGAAGGTCCTGGGTTCGAATCCCGGTCGGACCAGGGCCTTTCTGAGTGGACTTTGCATGTTCTCCCCGTGTCTGCGTAGGTTTCCTCCGGGTACTCCGGTTTCCCCTACCACTAAAAATATGTCCAATAGTTCTGGCATGCGCCTCCTGTACTGGCCCCGCTCCCATCTCTGTGTGGAGTGAGAGACAAATGCCCAAAAATTAACAATTGTAAACCGCTTTGAGACTCAGATCTGCAGTGAAAAGGCGGTATATAAATAAAAACGTACTTACTTACTTACTAATCATGTATTACTTTGTAGAAATGTTGTAGATAAATATATTACTAGAAAAAAAAACTTGTATAGCACAGACCTCAACTAAGAAACCCATTTCTATTGCTTAAAAAAGCCAAACTTTAATAATTTGTCCCATTTCCAAAGTATCCTGGATATTATGTAAATGTCTTTTGAGTTATCTTCTTAACTGACAGACAGACCGGCTGACAAACAAACCAAGGCAAAAACAAAACCCCTGGCAGAGGTAATAATGAGCCACGGCTGTCCTTTAAAAAGGAACATTACATTCTGGTTTTCCTCAAAGGGAGACATTATTGAATAAAATAATTGTATGTCTGAGTGTTGAATCTACTGTCGTTCTACTCGTGTTATTCTTCTTGATGCTTGTCTCTAGTTTGGCACCCGTGCTCTAACGTGCACATACGATATTGTGATAGACGCAGAATGTCTGTAGCCCGGACTGGCCGTGATGAAGTTGGCTGATGCCCATGCTGTAGCTGTTTGTTCTCTTGTCATTCCTACCCCCTGTACAAGGCGAGAGAGAATTCAATCTTCATGCCAAGAAACTTGAATAAAACATGAGATTCCTGTCCGGCATAAAGAAACATGTCTCACACCAAGATACAAACAGACTTTGATAGCACCAGCCCAGGTCAATGGAATGTAACAATAGTGTGTTTCTGGTTCAGAAGAATACCAGCACAGAGAATGTCAATGCGCCTCGCTGTCAGAACACGTCAACACAACCTCTGATTTGTCTTCCCAACATTTCTGCGGTTCAAAACACATCTTGTATTTCTATTTGTGAATGTTTGATGCATCACCCGCAGCAGCTTATTGTATATGTATGGGGTTCCACAGGGGTCATTACTGTCACCGCTCTTGTTTCTTTCATCCGTCCATCTGTCGTGGGGGCCGCAGTCTGAGCAGAGACGCCCAACCTTCACCACGCTCTTTCTTCAGCTCATCAGGGGGAATTCAGACATGTTTCAATGTCAGCTGGGTCTGTTGTTGTTTCTCCTTCCTCAGCTTTCACCAGTCTCTTATGTGTTGACTTATTAATAGTGTGACAACAATGCATTGGAATAATATCAATGAAGACAATTTCACACAAATTGTTTTTTTTTTTACAGACCAAACGGGTTTAGGTCGATGTTTCACCAAACCCTGTTTACAAACTATATAGCAGCCATTTGCTCAGTATTCAGTTCAACTACATAACTGGAATCAAACATTGTCAGTTTACAATGTCTTTCAAAGTCTTCTGATATATAGAACGTTTACAAACGATACATTAGGCCTCCAATAGGCCGCGTCATGTTGGATTTAGATCGAAATCTAGTAGAATGCAATTTGCCATTTATACCACTAGATGGGACTGTTGGTCCTTTTAATTTTGATTGTATTGCATTACTGTGACGGAGCCTCTCCGTCGAAGCCTGTGACGCTGTCTCACCTCCAGACGCACACTCACACACAAGTATTGTGCGCTAATCAATCTAACTCATTTGATTTTACTGTATACAACTTCTGTTTTTCTAAAGCGTTACATACTGTGGGGTCTGACCTAATAATGACATCAACGCCAAATACCAGTCTGTTCTACAGGTGCAGAGAGAACTATTGTGAGAAGGTTAAATTGACTGTTTTATCCATATTTATGGAAATATACAATCGTTGAAATGTTGAAAACTTCCAAAGTATTCAGTTTGAATGTTGGTTTAAGAGGAGGCCTCTTCTCTCAGTGTCAGTGTTTAGGCTGACGTAAGCAAATACAATTGTATCTGTTTGTATTATGTGTATGTTGTAAATATGTACGTGGGTGACAGTGGCTCAGTTGGTAGAGCCTCGGCCTTTGAGGCTGAAGGTCGTGGGTTTGAGCCAGAAGTAGCCACAGAGAGGAGTGAATGAATAATGACATATAAAGAGTCTTTGTGTGTCCAAAAAAGTGCTATATAAAACCAATGCATTAAGTTTTCTCACAGGTTTTATGTCATGTTTAGCACTCCTCTTAATAACTTTTAGGAATTATTTATACAAATACCTGAGTAGTACTCTGGATGCGACATTTTTATTCATTTTAATCCCATCAAGAACCCCGTCACAATTACATTTCAAGGAAACTTCAAAGTGCTACAGGATAAAAGCAGATACATTTGTTCATCAATTACATGAATACATCAATCACTGCAGACGAAAAATCCAAATACATGGAGATAAAATGCAAATGTTTTTTGGCATCTTTGTAAAGCCACCACACTCTGCGCCTTTGAAATGGTTTCACAATCTCTAACAATACACTAAAATGACTACAAATATTGCATACTAGTGGTTTTTAAAGTTGGGGTTTGTAAAGAAACAAGTTCCTCACTCTCACAGTGTGGTTGTATCACTTGTTTTTTCTGGTCTCTGTCACATTCTTAGATTAACCTTTTCTGACAGAGAGGTGGAAAAGAGGACCACCCTCTCGGCCCAATGTGTCAGTAGAAAAGATGATTTCTAAGATGAAGAAGACGGCCTGTTCTTGTCTGATTTCACAAAGTCACTCTATACTTGCATGATGTATCCTGCAGACAAGCCCGAAGTGAAGATTGTGGTGGAGTTTCCTCAGGGCCTGACCAGAGAAGGAGAAAACCTGGAGCTCACATGTCAGACCAAAGGCAAACCACAGTGAGTCCAACATATTCATACAGTCGTTCATGTTCAGTTGATTTAGTTTTGTGATTCTTAAAAAATGTGTAGGTAGAAAAATCTGCTGCAAAGTAGTTACTAAACGTTCCTTGGTGTGATAATCATTGTGCTTGGGAATTTTATACAATTCAATTTAGATAGACTTTTATATTTGGGTAAAAGCAATTTGAAGAACCACAACAAGCATGTTCCAGCCAGACTACATGTTCTTTTCAATCCTCAACAAAAATACAATCTGGGAAGGTGCAGGGTTTACCGGTGGGCGTGGTTGAATGACACTGTTACAGCTTCAGTGTTAGATATTTTACTGTATATCTTCCTAATCAACAGATGAAAATAGCAGAAGATGTTCGATCGGTCGGCGCGTCCGCCATCTTTAATACTTTTGTGGAATAGTCCGCTGACAGCATCGATTTCAACCTCTTCCTCTGATTGGAGCAAAACATGATGAAAGGATTCAGACAGTTCTTTTGACAGAAAGGAGGAGGTTAGAAGTGAGGGAAATGTTTCTCAGTTGGATTTTTCTCATGTTTTTTTTGTGCACGTTTTTTTCAGTGAGGTTCTCAGATGAGTACCAGGAGATGGTGTTTGGTTCTCACTCCATTTGTCGTGTGGTTCTTAATGGAGATTTTATACTTGCTTCTTTTTAAAGCTAAAGTTTAGATGAGCTCAGATAATCCACTCAATCCAAGTCAAATAATGACTCACAGGGCTCTTTCCTAAAAATGCAAAACAAAACAAAAATCAAAACAATGTCCTGTTTGATTTGTTCACAACATTTTACTTTTGGCCACAACCAACATCATTATGCATTATTAAGGCAAGGGAAAATGTAGGTACCACAGCTTTAATTTAGAGACACGGGCAGGACATGGACACTGCCTAAAGCTCCAGAGTCCAGCAGCCAAGGCTAGCGCTAGCTACTAGCTTGGTGCAGAACCACCTCTGTATGATCATGCACAGTGTGACAACCACGGCACATGAAGTGTAGGAGGCGCCTGTAGCCAAAGCACATCCGTTACCCACTGTATATTCTGAAACAAAGTTCGATCGCGGAAAAAATTCCTGCAGGTTGCTCGGTTCCGACTTTCCCCACGACAACACACCCACCGCGCTTATTTCAGGAAGTGTTACCACGGAGACGGTGGGAACTCTCGCAGGAGTAAGACAACTACCACGAGATTCTTTAAAAGGGCCCACATAAAAATAATGGAGAAGAGACGAGAGGAACGGAGACGATAAAAATGACCCGGGTTAAACAAAGTACGCAAAGGCACTTACTAACTCAAGTGATAGTACACATTTCTGATATTTGTCGTACCTGCGTACCACACATGTGCACCCCTGGACATAATCACATCATAGACTGTATATAGAGGTCAGATGCTCGTAGCTCAATGAAGCCCAATGGTGAAGTGCTCATGGACGAAGTTTTACTTTTTGATGTTACTCATCAACAAATGAAAATTTCTTTTAGTTTACATTTTTTACAACTTTTAAATGCCAAAGAATGTATTTGAAGGATCATGTAGGTAAAATATGGGCTTTTGAATCCTTCCTCAGGCCTCAGAGAGTAAAGTGGGTGAAAGTGGATGATGATGTCCCCTCCCACGCGGTCATCACTGGAGGAGACCTGTACATCGAGAACCTCAACAAGTCGTACAACGGGACGTACCGCTGCGTGGCCGCCAACGCCGTGGGCGAGGCCTACGACGACTACATCCTCTATGTTTACGGTACAATGTAACCATGTAGCTCCCAATCAACATGTAACCATGTAGCTCCCAATCAACATGTAACCATGTAGCTCCCAGTCAACATGTAACCATGTAGCTCCCAATCAACATGTAACCATGTAGCTCCCAGTCAACATGTAACCATGTAGCTCCCAGTCAACATGTTACCATGTAGCTCCCAGTCAACATGTAACCATGTAGCTCCCAATCAACATGTAACCATGTAGCTCCCAGTCAACATGTAACCATGTAGCTCCCAATCAACATGTAACCATGTAGCTCCCAATCAACATGTAACCATGTAGCTCCCAGTCAACATGTAACCATGTAGCTCCCAGTCAACATGTAACCATGTAGCTCCCAATCAACATGTAACCATGTAGCTCCCAGTCAACATGTAACCATGTAGCTCACTGAAGCCCGATTGGGATCCAGCTCAGCCCAGCTCAGTAACAGTTTGTAAATTCCAGGGTTTAGTCCTGTCTGTGAACCTGGTGTCGTCTTTGTAAATCCAACTATGAGCTCTTTAAGGATAGACCAGCGAGGTACCTTTATACGCAGGGAAAACTTCAGCTTGCCTTATCAACCATCTAAGCAACACGTCTGCCTCCTTTATGGCACGAAGCTAACTCTGTCACAAAACATGCCCTTATAAGGAGAATGCTCCAGCTAGCTTAAGTTCAAATTGGCTTCTTCTGCATTTGGCAAAAACTGTGGCTGACGTCAGCACCCGGTCAGTCCACTCCTAATATACAGTATGGTATGGGATGGTTTTTATTTTTACAGGGACAGTGTACAATAAACTTTAGCCAAAAGGAGAGATGCATTGTACCAGGTTATAGCAGCAGTGCTAATTTACACCTGTAGTCCCTGAGCAGGTTGTAAAATAAAAGTAGATGGATACAATTACCAAACATTATCAGACGTAGATTACAATTTAATTTATCACAGTCTATAGCTTTGGGCCGGCTCACTTTAAGCCACGCTCTGGGGCACTTTGGGTGTCGTCAGAGCTCGGTTGCTCCCATATATGAGGTCATTCAAAGTTTGTGACTGAGGCACTTTGTCAGTAGCCCCACATTTCATCCACTTTGGAACAGAAAAATGAGTTAGAAGTTTGTATCGGCATGAACTGGAAATTCTCTTTTCCTTTCAACTAAGGTGAGTGGCAGAATGCTCCCTCATCCCTGTCCAATCGATGGGGCACACTTTCAGATCTGAACTTTTTCTATCCAACTAACATTTCACTGTTAACCGGCACCTTTCATCTTCTCACATGGGGGCAGAGAATCATGTCCAAATTGACCACGATATCAGAATTTTTTCTCTCATTAATTCTTACACATGATGTTTTATTATGACGGTTTGGTTCGTCCACTTACATCTGCATGAAGACCCGCTTGTGCATGATTGTTTTATTTCATTATTTTTTTGTCTTTCCATCATCTCTAAATCTCTTTCATACTGTTCTCATGAGGCATTGTAGTGTATTTCCAATATAGTCCTCTTAATATGTCGGCACAAGTTGGATAAAGTGATCTGAAAAGGAATTGGAGACTTAACCATAGTCGCAAATCACATAAAGGTTCATTAAAGATATGTGTTTTTCTTGCAAACCATTTGTTTTTGCACAAAGTAGTTACTTTAGGATGTCCTCCAACAGGACCTCTGGTGATTTTATGTGGCTTGTTGCTAACCCAAAGTAGCCATTGAGATCATAAAGTCATCGTGTCATCCAGCCAACTTCAGCTCAATGCTCAGTGTAAAGCTCATATGTGAATCAATATGAACTTAGTGTCATACATCAAAGATCAGGAAAGGCCAAATCCAGCCATAACAGTTTTACAATGCTGATTGCCTGAGCGGCCTTGTAACGCTCTTCATGATGTCATGGATGGACAGCGCCAAAGTCACCCTCACAAATGTTTGTTTTTTAATGTTTGATGAGGTTTTATTGTTTTAATTGTGCTTACGTTTGTGTAAACCAAAACTAAATCTCTGCATTTTGCAATTTGGAACAAACCAGCCTTGCCTCTGATTCGTACTTTGCTCTGAGAGTTGGGCTCCAGATTAACCCCCATGGAGCTGGCCAGGGCAGCACTCAACGGTTTATTCCGGGTAAAACTAACACTCTTAGTGAGCTCACATTCAGACAGTCCACCCCTGTTATCCAGTCTATGCTTTGAACACATTTCTGTTGCTTTCTGTTGGAGTCTGCAGTATTCTAACTGGGATACGCCACTGATCCAACAGCCATCTTTCTGTTTGACTCATTTGTTTCTCCCTTTGTGTTGTGTCGTGTCATGTGTCTCATCAGATGCCCCCACTACCACCCCCATCCCCACCACCACCACCACCACCGCCATGCCCACCACCTCCCCGCCCCTCCTGGAGAGCCACCCAGGTACAGTATTAACGCATGCAGCCTTTCATTTGGATCTGCTCCTGATGCTACGTCATATCATCGTTTCAACCCGAACAGACAGGGAGGGGGGTGACATTTGCAGATATGAGCTGAAATCTCGATTTCCCTCGGGTTTGGACATGACTGGTGTCAATTAAATCAATTAATTTAGAAGATATGATGAGGAGCAGGAGAAAAGTGGGTGTGGGAGGGCTGTGTTTGCGTGACAATTGACTTGAGATGAAATGCAGTTGTATTTAAAATGTGCAGATCTAGGGCAACATCTGGATTGATCTGGGTATTTGACTACTCACCAGTGCCAGCGCCAGACCAAAAGATTGTAGAAATTATAATACGGACCACAGGCTTCTTCAAGTGATCTTAAAAAACGTTCTAAGTGACAAATGTTAATCAAACTTCTAGGTGTGAAGCTCTAAATCTGCAGAATACATTTATTGTATTTAAATCCATTCATCTACAATTGATGACTTTAGTAAGTGTGCGATTATAACACCAGCTCAAAGATCATTAAAACAAGTTCACTGTCATCCAGCCAACTCCAGCTTTGCTAATATACACATGCCAATTCAGTATCTCGTGCAAAAATTCAGGTCCACCAAATGTAAATCAATTTTCTCATGTCATACCTCAACAGCCTGAATCCCGTCGGTAAAGAGTCTTGCATAATCCCAAAATATGTCTTCAAATAAAAGTCAGTCCAAGTTTTACCATCCCTACTAGCCATCAATTCTCAAATCTTGACATGCTGTAGATAGATCCCTAGATAATAAGCAACAATACACTGAAGCTACGGATTTTGATGTGATAAATTTGAAAAGAGCAGCGAAAAACACGAGAAATGGTTGCGGTAATCAGGAGAACGGACGCTCAGAAGAAAGCCTGGATTCTGGGATCAACAGAGAGAAAAACTTAGCTGGTTTTACTGCCACAGTGAGTGAGGATGTCTCTATTTTCCTCCGTAATAGTCACATGGGTAAATTTAAATGAGCCCAAAACCGCAGAACTGCAAAATAATTGATTTAATAAAAGTAAAACAAATCCAAATCCAGCAAAAACACAGGGAACGAGGACAAGAACTGAAATAGATGAGGAATGACAAGGACAGAACCGGGAGTGAAGGAACACACAAGACTGACAAGACACAGGCGAGACACACGAGGGCGGGGCAGGTCATCAACAGGAAGTGCATCAAAGAAGACAAACTACAAAATAAAGCTAGAAATAAACCTAAACTAAACTCCCCCACAGCAGATGTGAATCCCACAGTGACTCAACCTGGTCTGACCTCAGCTTTCAACACTGGCACAGGCTTCTGTTTCACGGAATAAATCTCCCAACTTTTCTAGAAACAAGCTTCCAGCCTTAAACTTTTCTTGCGTGAAGGGTCCCGGGTTTTCTAATAAGTAAGAATAGATGTCTCCCAGCAGATCGGTGCCAAGACAGAGGCGAGTCTGACCAACGTTTTTCCTCATCCCAGGTCTCATCTGGACTTTGGATTTGTTCAGTACAGTCTCCTATACTTATTTTCAGTGTATCTTTATTTTTTCTTCCGATCTTCTCGCGTTAAAGTGCTTACATATTGTGCATTTCAAGTCTTTTAAAAGTATTCGTCGCATCCTTCAGTATTTGCCGCTCTGTCGAGTGGCGCATGCACACGCAGATGTAAACAAACGTCCTCCGATTATTGAGGACTCCACAGTCTACACTCTGTGGTTTCCTAAACGTTCCATGTATGATACAAGAGCAAGCTTCTCTGAGGTGTGAGGCATGGGCTGAACGCTGGTCTAGTCTCTGTCCTGGCCTCTGGTCTGGTCTCTGTCCTGGACTATAGTCTCGTATCTGTCCTGGCCTCTGGTCTGGTCTCTGTCCTGGACTCTGGTCTGGTCTCTGTCCTGGACTATAGTCTCGTATCTGTCCTGGCCTCTGGTCTGGTCTCTGTCCTGGACTCTGGTCTGGTCTCTGTCCTGGACTATAGTCTCGTATCTGTCCTGGCCTCTGGTCTGGTCTCTGTCCTGGACTCTGGTCTGGTCTCTGTCCTGGACTATAGTCTCGTATCTGTCCTGGTCTATAGTCTGGTCCCTGTCCTGGACTATAGTCTCGTATCTGTCCTGGCCTCTGGTCTGGTCTCTGTCCTGGACTATAGTCTCGTATCTGTCCCGGTCTATAGTCTGGTCCCTGTCCTGGACTTTGGTCTGGTCTCTGTCCTGGCCTCTGTCCTGGCCTCTGGTCTGGACTCTGGTCTGGTCTCTGTCCTGGACTCTGGTCTGGTCTCTGTCCTGGACTCTGGTCTGGTCTCTGTCCTGGACTCTGGTCTGGTCTCTGTCCTGGACTTTGGTCTGGTCTCTGTCCTGGCCTCTGTCCTGGCCTCTGGTCTGGACTCTGGTCTGGTCTCTGTCCTGGCCTCTGGTCTGGTCTCTGTCCTGGACTCTGGTCTCGTATCAGTCCTGGACTCTGGTCTGGTCTCTGTCCTGGCCTCTGGTCTGGTCTCTGTCCTGGACTCTGGTCTGGTCTCTGTCCTGGACTCTGGTCTGGTCTCTGTCCTGGACTCTGGTCTCGTATCTGTCCTGGGATCTGGTCTGGTCTCTGTCCTGGACTTTGGTCTGGTCTCTGTCCTGGACTCTGGTCTGGTCTCTGTCCTGGACTCTGGTCTGGTCTCTGTCCTGGACTATAGTCTCGTATCTGTCCTGGACTCTGGTCTGGTCTCTGTCCTGGACTCTGGTCTGGTCTCTGTCCTGGACTCTGGTCTGGTCTCTGTCCTGGACTCTGGTCTGGTCTCTGTCCTGGACTCTGGTCTGGTCTCTGTCCTGGACTCTGGTTCGGTCTCTGTCCTGGACTATAGTCTCGTATCTGTCCTGGCCTCTGGTCTGGTCTCTGTCCTGGACTCTGGTCTGGTCTCTGTCCTGGACTCTGGTCTCGTATCAGTCCTGGACTCTGGTCTGGTCTCTGTCCTGGACTCTGGTCTGGTCTCTGTCCTGGACTCTGGTCTGGTCTCTGTCCTGGACTCTGGTCTGGTCTCTGTCCTGGACTCTGGTCTGGTCTCTGAAGATCTTGGCAGGCTCGGGCTGGGCTTAAAGTGTACGATTCCACTTAGGTCCTGGTCGGGTACGTGCAGCAAATGAATGCTTGTGATTTTTGCCTCTCGTTCTCTAAAAAGGGATGCACATTGCATTTTTTCTGAAAATACAGATAAAAAAGAAACAAATGTTTACTCATGATTTTTTATTTTTTTTTACAAAGCCTAAGACTAATAATACTTGTTAGAGACATGGCCTCTCCCTCCTCCGTGTGCCTGTCTGCTGCCTGCGTCCCGATGCACACATACAGGACAATGTGAGGCTGGACCTGGATAAAATCACTCCCTTCAAAGTCCTCACACAGACCAAAGAAGAGATTAAGTGATTTTATCTTTGTTAAGCTCCAGACTGACGCTTATTTTGTTTAAATCAGTCTCATTTTAGACACGAATGAGACTGGTTCTGCTGTGGGTGGACTGGGTCTGCACAGTGTGGTACATATACAGTGTTGGTACTTCCTCATTTGAAAACCACTGCTGATTACAGCTCTACAGCAGTCACTGCACTTAGACCCATTTTATGAAAGAGTAAGGAATGTGCCTAGATGTATGTTGATATGTTGATGTTGGGCGGCAGTAGCTCAGTTGGTAGAGTGTTTGCCTTTGAGCCAGAAGGTCGTGGGTTCAAGCCCCGCTCAAGACTTTCACCATCGACTCCCACTGACTACTGTCGTTGTGTCCTTGGCAAGACACTTAACCTCTGGGAACACCAGCCACAGTGGGGCGGCTGCGGCTGTAAAGTGCCAAACTGCCGTTGTGTCCTTAGGCAAGACACTTCACCCCCATTGCCTAGAATGAGTCTGGTGTGTGTGTGAATGGTTGGTGGTGGTGGGAGGGGCCGATGGCACAGACTGGTTGCCTCGCTTCTGTCAGTGTGCCCCAGGGCAGCTGTGGCTACAATAGTAGTTTATCACCACCGTGTTTGGAGAGAGAGAATAATGACACATGTGAAGCGTCTTTGAGTGTCCAAAAAAGCGCTATATAAAACCGATGCATTATTATTATTATTAAACAGTTGGTCTAACATGCCCTCTGAAATTGCACCTGTTTTTTTTAGCTTGCAAGTTGCACCCACAATTTAGTATCTGCTTCATAGATACACAGATAAATATAAGTTGGTAAACAAGTGGAAAACAATCGACTACACAATCCTATGTTCAATTCCATACCACATTGTATAACATTGTGACATTGTATAAATATTTACAAAAATGCTGCATTATAATTGAATAAAGGTATTATTTAGAGCAGCCATTCCCAAACTCAGTAACACCGAGGCCCCCTTAAAAATCTGACGGGTCTGCGTGGCCCCCCCAAAATAATAACCAAGAAGACAACATTAAGAATAGGCTCTTCTGGTTATTTTATTTTGGGGAAATAGCCTCTGCTACAAACATTGTAATACAAAAATGATTACAGTGAATTATTCAAGTCAAATAATGAACACAAATATTTTAATATTACAAACAAAACATTATAAATTTAACATTAAATAATTATATATATCTTTTTTTTATGACCTCCCGCGGCCCCCCCTGCAGGACCCCACTTTGGGAGACACTGATTTAGAGGACATTAAGAAAAGAATGTTTGGAGCATGTGATGTTGTATCTGATCCATTTCCTGTCAATGTCACTGAATTGTGTCTTTTCAAGCCCTGCTGTTGTGTTTTGGGTTTACAGCGCCCCCTTGTGTCCTTTGTGTCTGTTGTGTGATGCTCTGCTTATACATATATCTACATGTGTTTTCTCCCTACCTCTTTTTGCATGTTGTTCCTCGTGTTGCACTCCTCCTCCACCTCCTCCACCTCCTCCACCTCCTCCCAGACACCTCGCCCAGCACTGAACCGGCGGCTCACGGTGGGTACTGTCGCCCGATCTGCTCCTATGTCGCTCTGTTGTGTCCCATGAGTACTGATCATACTGATTCAACTTTCCCCAGATTGTGATTAATCTCTTCTGCTGAAAATGATTGCCACGGGCCAAATTAATTCTCACAGGCAACATATTTGAAACAAAAAAGCCAATGTTGAATGTTCCAATTTGAATTTTGATTCACCTAATGAGTAGCCTGGCCTTATCCATCCGTACACTGGGCTCAATCATCATTTCACTGCATGTAACGTCTGGGTCTGGTCCCTGTGTTAGCGATTGGAATCGGTTGTATTTCGACCGACCAATCAGAGAGCGCGGGAGGCGGGTGTTGTAGTTAGTTGTGATTGATGTCAAGAGTTTGTGTCGAACTGGCAGGTCGTAGTTTGGTGATGGCGAAAAATTCAAAGTAATCCGGTCTGGTTCTATCAAGAGTAAGTAAGAGCAAGGGTAATGTTTAGCAAATGTAATCGCTGGAATAAATTTTGGCGCTACTCCCCACGGGCTCCGTTTGCGGCAAAGGAGATGGCTAAAGCTAGGCTAAATGCTAATGCTAACAACACACTCGGGCGCACGACATACTTCACAGTAAACTCAGATCCAATCGTTTCAATCTGCAAAAGGAGTTAACCCTTTAAGCGCCAAAGTCGCAATATTGCGACAAGCAACATTGCTCACTTAAACAGGCTGTATGTAAAAATGTGGTGCAGAATCTTGTTAATACTTTTCACCAGGGGTTAGTGGACATGTGTGCCTGTAATATGAGCAGCATTTGTGGGTGTGGTTATATTGAAAGTTTTAGAGTAAATTGAGTTCGTAAAACACCTGCGGCGCAGCAGCGCGGAGGCGAAGCAGCAGCGGTAGAGCTGAGAGGAGCGAGAGCAGAGCAGAGGGAGAGAGTGTTTTTTATTTTACTCACGAGGTCTTCAGTCCCAGAGAAGTACTTGGTCTGGTACTGGCTCACTCAGATTCAGAGGAGGAAGACACACTGGTGTCCAGTGAAGCAGACACGGACATTATTGGTGACGGGGAGACCGCGCGCCATAGTCCACAATCAGCCCCTGTACAGCGGCTGCTTGTCCTCCGTGTGGCCGCGGTAGAAGCATTCTGTGAACGCCAAGCAGGGGCCGTGGTGGAGGGGACAGGGGGATCATAACACCGGGCATGTGAGAGAAAGTAGTGGGGGTAGACATCCACGGGGAAGACGGGAGACGTGGGAGAAGTCGCGGGAGAGCCGCGGGAAAAAAACACATCGCTAATCACGTTCACTGCCTTTACCAACAGCGATGATGAGGATCAAGGCAGTTCTTGAGAGAAAATAATCCACAAAAGTGGACCAGAAGTGTTGAAGAGCCTGTTGTATGTTGTTGAGACGATCTGACAAGTTCTGAGCCCATTCATTTCATTTCTCTGTTTCTAAACGGTAAATCCTGGAGCCTCATTTCCACTGAGAAAAATAGTAAGCCCACTACTTCTCTGAAAGGGAAATATTGAAACCAATCTCAAGATTTCATGACTGTAAACTATAAAGAGTGCTGTCTTGATCACTGAAGGTCTTTGAAAATAATACAATTCCATATGGCCGCGAACCAGTGCTAAAACATTATCTATAATCTGGATCAGGGAATTTATTTCTATCCCAAATTCATTTCATACTAAAGATATTTCACATTGACTGTTTATAGTATTCCCTGATCTCAAATAACTCCCAAGCTACAGCTTTTTGAAGTCTTTATACAATAATTAACATTTTCCAAAATGGCCGCCACCTTGATGACGTCACAATATGCAAATTAGATGACGAATCAACTTCCATCCCAAAGTTTGGTTCAGACTGAAGATATTTCTAATTTACAGTATGCCTTTATCTCAAACCATTTTAAAGTTATAGCCTTTTGAAATCTTGAAATCAAAATTGTATATTTTCTTGAAAAAAGTCTGGCGCCTAAAGGGTTAATCCCTCCCACCTGTTCACGGAGTCAACGGAGCAAATCCAGACCTTAGTATGAAATGTCATCTGTACTATGGTGTGGTACGACCAGGCTACCTAATTAGCTATGTCAACATGTGTTTGCCCGTGATCAACTCTATAACGCAAAACTGAACATTTTAGAGAAGCCTATTCTGGCCACAATACATTTTTTTTTTAACAGCATGGAATATGGAAATTATTAAATAATCTTAAAAATAATAATAAAAGGAGAAGTGCTCATAAAAAACAAGAATATTTTGGGAACAATATTTTTCCAAAAAATGTAAACATAAATATTTGCTCTTCAAACTGCTCATTTGGTCAATGTTTGAACATGTTTTTATTATTTGTAATATTTTCCTGAAAACCACTGAAGTCAATAGTGTTGTAGTTGTTCCAACTTCATTAGAATGGCTTAAACATGTTCCAAACAATGAGAGTTTTTCAAATACAACCAATGAAAGCACTTGAATGCACTCTGGGAGATTATCAGCATGAGCAGAACAGTGACTCTGGGTGGCTTTTTGTTGAACCTGCATTTCATCGTTGTTCCGTCGTCACAGCATGATGCACTTCATGTCCTCACGAGTTTACTTCTGACTAATATGTCTTACTTCTAAGGAATACTTCTAACTAATACTAACTTCCAATATCAAGGGCCAAGAGTCCTGCAGTGCACACCACATTTACACCATCCTCACAATGAGCAGATCTTTACATAATTAGCTTTTAGTGGTTAGTGGTATTTTATTGTTAATTCATAATAATTCCTGAAGCTTCAGCGTGTGGTGTGGAGGCTCCAGGTATCTGGAATCAGCCACGCAGTCCCCTATGCAGACAGCTGCCTGAGCCTTTCTGTGAGCCTTTCTGTGAGCCTTTCTGTGAGCCTTTCTGTGAGCCTTTCTGTGAGCCTTTCTGTGGGCCTTTCTGTGGGCCTTTCTGTGAGCCTTTCTGCGGGCCTTTCTGTGGGCCTTTCTGTGAGCCTTTCTGTGAGCCTTTCTGTGAGCCTTTCTGTGGGCCTTTCTGTGAGCCTTTCTGTGAGCCTTTCTGTGGGCCTTTCTGTGGGCCTTTCTGTGAGCCTTTCTGTGAGCCTTTCTGCGGGCCTTTCTGCGGGCCTTTCTGTGAGCCTTTCTGTGAGCCTTTCTGCGGGCCTTTCTGTGGGCCTTTCTGTGGGCCTTTCTGTGGGCCTTTCTGTGAGCCTTTCTGTGGGCCTTTCTGTGGGCCTTTCTGTGAGCCTTTCTGTGAGCCTTTCTGTGGGCCTTTCTGTGAGCCTTTCTGTGGGCCTTTCTGTGAGCCTTTCTGTGGGCCTTTCTGTGGGCCTTTCTGTGAGCCTTTCTGTGAGCCTTTCTGTGAGCCTTTCTGTGAGCCTTTCTGTGGGCCTTTCTGTGGGCCTTTCTGTGAGCCTTTCTGTGAGCCTTTCTGCGGGCCTTTCTGTGGGCCTTTCTGTGAGCCTTTCTGTGAGCCTTTCTGCGGGCCTTTCTGTGGGCCTTTCTGTGGGCCTTTCTGTGGGCCTTTCTGTGAGCCTTTCTGTGGGCCTTTCTGTGGGCCTTTCTGTGGGCCTTTCTGTGAGCCTTTCTGTGAGCCTTTCTGTGAGCCTTTCTGTGGGCCTTTCTGTGAGCCTTTTTGTGAGCCTTTCTGTGGGCCTTTCTGTGAGCCTTTCTGTGGGCCTTTCTGTGGGCCTTTCTGTGAGCCTTTCTGTGAGCCTTTCTGTGGGCCTTTCTGTGAGCCTTTCTGTGGGCCTTTCTGTGGGCCTTTCTGTGAGCCTTTCTGTGAGCCTTTCTGTGAGCCTTTCTGTGGGCCTTTCTGTGAGCCTTTTTGTGAGCCTTTCTGTGGGCCTTTCTGTGAGCCTTTCTGTGGGCCTTTCTGTGGGCCTTTCTGTGGGCCTTTCTGTGAGCCTTTCTGTGAGCCTTTCTGCGGGCCTTTCTGTGGGCCTTTCTGTGAGCCTTTCTGTGAGCCTTTCTGCGGGCCTTTCTGTGGGCCTTTCTGTGGGCCTTTCTGTGGGCCTTTCTGTGAGCCTTTCTGTGGGCCTTTCTGTGGGCCTTTCTGTGAGCCTTTCTGTGAGCCTTTCTGTGAGCCTTTCTGTGGGCCTTTCTGTGAGCCTTTCTGTGGGCCTTTCTGTGAGCCTTTTTGTGAGCCTTTCTGTGGGCCTTTCTGTGAGCCTTTCTGTGAGCCTTTCTGTGAGCCTTTCTGTGGGCCTTTCTGTGGGCCTTTCTGTGAGCCTTTCTGTGAGCCTTTCTGCGGGCCTTTCTGTGGGCCTTTCTGTGAGCCTTTCTGTGAGCCTTTCTGCGGGCCTTTCTGTGGGCCTTTCTGTGGGCCTTTCTGTGGGCCTTTCTGTGAGCCTTTCTGTGGGCCTTTCTGTGGGCCTTTCTGTGAGCCTTTCTGTGAGCCTTTCTGTGAGCCTTTCTGTGGGCCTTTCTGTGAGCCTTTTTGTGAGCCTTTCTGTGGGCCTTTCTGTGAGCCTTTCTGTGGGCCTTTCTGTGGGCCTTTCTGTGAGCCTTTCTGTGGGCCTTTCTGTGGGCCTTTCTGTGAGCCTTTCTGTGGGCCTTTCTGTGGGCCTTTCTGTGAGCCTTTCTGTGAGCCTTTCTGTGAGCCTTTCTGTGAGCCTTTCTGTGAGCCTTTTTGTGAGCCTTTCTGTGGGCCTTTCTGTGAGCCTTTCTGTGGGCCTTTCTGTGGGCCTTTCTGTGGGCCTTTCTGTGAGCCTTTCTGTGGGCCTTTCTGTGAGCCTTTCTGTGAGCCTTTCTGTGAGCCTTTCTGTGGGCCTTTCTGTGAGCCTTTTTGTGAGCCTTTCTGTGGGCCTTTCTGTGAGCCTTTCTGTGGGCCTTTCTGTGGGCCTTTCTGTGGGCCTTTCTGTGGGCCTTTCTGTGAGCCTTTCTGTGGGCCTTTCTGTGAGCCTTTCTGTGAGCCTTTCTGTGAGCCTTTCTGTGGGCCTTTCTGTGAGCCTTTTTGTGAGCCTTTCTGTGGGCCTTTCTGTGAGCCTTTCTGTGGGCCTTTCTGTGAGCCTTTTTGTGAGCCTTTC